TAAGTCATCTTATTGAGAGCAGGCAGGCAGGCTCGCTCCAAAAGTTAGTGAAAATGTATCTCAGAACTTGGCTATTATCAGATAAGGGCAAACTACAGTCAAACCGATGCCAGGAAGAAATGCCTAGTAGGCAAGCAGTAGTTCTTTAGGAAACTGCTTTGGGCTTGCTTAACATTTTAGCCTGCTATGAATTTTAAACCTCAGCCTGTGCTGCTCCGTCAGCAGCAACTTCCACAGTTTAAAAGAAGCCTCTGCATGTAGGCCAAAGGAGTACACTGGCTGATTTCAGGACACCCTCTCCATATCTATCTGCATTATGTATAAAGATCCTGCATTTTTGCACTTTCCATAATTGTTAAAAGATGCAAGACAACCAACAAGCAATTAAGATTTATTCTTATGAAGGAGAAACATCAGCACACAATACATCTTATTTTACTCGTATCGCATGAACAGCACTGCAATTCCAGGAACTTAAAATACACTGAATGGTCGCTTGTATTTACCTTCTTGGATAAGCTTCTCTTTACGATCCTGTGGAAGAAAGAGAACATTCATCATTATCCTATTAGAGAAGAAGTTTCAATCAGCCTGGGATGAGAGAAAAGTAGACATAGTATTTCAGCATGGACTACAGGAAGGGTCTTTTCCAACCTAAATGATTCTATAAGCACAAATTCTGGTAACAGCCGTGGCAGTTAAAAAGTAAAAAAGAACAAGGCATTTAAGCTTCACCTATCAACTACGGAAGGCATGCTCAGATTAACGTCTCTGTACATCCATCCACTCTCACAGGCTAGCAGAGACCAATTCCTGTGATATATTGTTCACCAAACTAGTTGTGTCACAGTTAATTTATACATTTAGTTTCTGCCTTCCCCTCTGGCTGAATAATCCAGTTTAGAGATCTAATTATAGAGAAACTTCTTAATAACTTGCCCAAATGTGCCTCTATTCGCTTTCAGCCCATTTGTATCTCACTCTGCAGTCATGTACCTTTCTGACAGGTATTGTTACATTACACAGACACTGCAGATATTACCCATATCCCTTTTGCGGGATAAAACCAGAAGACTTGCTTAAGACTTGGCAGTTTATCTTTTGCTTTCCCTGACACACAACAAAAACTCCTCAGAGAAAAAAAGTATAACAGTTTTGTGCTTTATACACTAACAGAAAAGAAAGAAAAATCCCTAAATGTCAGTAAGGGAACTGGAATAAAGGAAAACAAATTGTCCTGGAGACTACATTAAAGACTTCTGTTTAACTATTCCCAGCCAAGCATGTCTAGATTTCACTCACACAGGTTTATTTTCAAGCACTTACATGCTAACCCACACTTGGTGGCTATGCCCAAGTGTGGCTTCATGTACAAAACAAAAGCAGCATGACAAAATACTGCAGAGACGCTTAAGTCTCAAAAACATTTCTGTCAACATGCTCAGCATGTTTCCTAAAACCTGTATTTTTGATTCATCCTAGTAAACACCATTCCCTACAAATATTCTATTAATTTTAATTGATGTTTTTGCTTCCTGGTTTATGACTTGATCTCAAATTGCTACTTCTGTGCAAAAGAGGGAAATAAAAGTGCTTACAATAGCCACAAGTTCACTAGTAAAAACAGCCACTGTCTGGCAGTCACTGAGAATTTTCTTATGTACATATATTGCTGAGTATTTTCAGAATGATCTACCATTGCTCAGATTCCAACACCCACGTTTCAGGAGTTCGAACAGAAGCAAGATAAACCTTCCAAAAATCTTTAAAAAACAGCTGAGATCAGGCACTGTAATCAGCATAAGTACTCATCCCCATTTGCTTCAGGAGATTAGAGAAATGGTTAAGTAACTCAAGAGAGACCCCACTAGGTCTGCATCCATAAGCTCCCTATTTACTTATT